CTCATACTGTTTTCATTTTACTAAAGAGGAAACTGAAACTTGAGGAGGTGAGCAATTTGTTCAAAGTCACACAGCAAATATGTACTACAGCAGTTAGGATTTGACCCAGGTTAATCTGACAACTTTCTGCCACACCAATGGTTTTGAATTTGGTCCTGGGGTTACTGTGTCTGTCTGTCTATGGTGAAGGGGAGGAATGGAGAGGGGAGGTCTTCAAAACAGGTAGCTCTACATTTGTCAGGTTTTAAATGTAGGCCTTTGTTAAGTTGATTTAAATCCATAGTGACTCTGTAGGACAGAATAGAAGTGCCCATTAGGGTTTCCAAGGCTGCAAATCTTTATAAAGGCAGACTGTCATATCTTTTTATACTATGGTGCAGCGGGTAGCCTTGAACTGCTGACTTTCGGTAAACAGACAAGTGCTCTAACCACTGTTCCACTAGCACCTCTTGCAGGGGATATGACCACAGACTGTATAGGTGGGAAAAGAAGAAAAATTTGAAAGCCGCTGCTCCATCCAGAGTTTATGGTTTTTCTTGAAACGCTGCCCCAGAAATACTTTGCTTGTATGAAGCATTTGTCCCGCGTTTTCTCCTGGCACATCCATCCCTCACATCACTGCTAGGGTGCATTTTCTCAAATTTCACCATGTAACTCTTCTGCTCAAAAACCTTCTATGGCTCCCAAGTGCTTTTAGGTTAAAAATCTATATATCTCTTTTAGTATGGCCTACATGACACATAACAACAACAACAACTAGATGGCCAGAGTCCTGCTGTGGCGCTGTGGGTTAATGCGCCAGACTGCAAAGCCGTTTGAACTGCAAGGTTGGTGGTTCAAGCTCACCAGCTGCTTCTTAAAAACCCTATACAGGGTTGCTATGGGTCGGGACCGACTGGACGGCACTTCACAACAACCACCACGTAACAGCTCGACGGCCCTAGGTGGTACAATTAATGCACTCCATTGTGTGGTGCTGCAAGATAATGCACTGGACCATAAGGTCAGTTTCAACCACAAAGACGGTAGTTCAAACCCACCAGCTGCTCCTCAGAAACCCTACACAAGGTCTCTATGTAACTGTTAGTGCAAACACTGGAGCTGCCAGTCTACGCAGAGGCACCTTAGATGAACAGCCTGGTAATCTACTTATCTGGGAAGTTCATAGCCATGGAAACCCGATGGAGCATAGTCATACTCAGGGTTGTCATGCGTTACAATCTACTTGATGGCAACTGGTACTGGTTTTGAGATCCTTAGTGATCTGGACTCCCATCTCCAGCCTTGCCTTTCCCTGCCAACTGGTTGAATTACAGTTCTTCCTACAATCCACCTTCTCCCATACATACCCCCCTCCCAGGTAAATTTGCCAGGAACCCCCTAACCCCCTGCTCCACAGGCCAATTTCCACTTCCGAAGAGCCTCAGATCTGGCTTTCCTGTTCTCCCCAGTATGCCTTTCCAGCACCTCTCTGGGGGTCAGCCCCTCCCTCTGTGCTTTTTCCTCCTCCCCACTCCCTCCCCCATGCTTACCTGTCCTAGCTCTGCTTCTACTGGTCTCCCTTCCTTGCCAGGATCCCCTAGTGGAACTCCGTTTTGTATCATCTGCGTATTAAGTCCCTTTTGCTTCCCTGGAAAGAGGTTTCTCGGGGAATTTGTTCTTTCTCGTGGGGAAGCATACCAGTCTTGCCTCGAAAAGCATACCAGAAATGCCAATGGCTTGATGTTAGGCATGGAGAGTTTTCAGCATAGGAGTTTGTTCCCTGAAGCCAAACCTCAATTTTACATGGAGGAGGTAGGCTAGGCAATATCACATGATGAGAAAAATCTGTGGGTAAGAATAGCTGACTGCAGGGAAACAAAACAAACAAAAAAACTAGAGAAAGCTGCTCTCAAATCTTCCAGCTGATTTGGTTTTCATTTTGCAAAGTGCAGGGTTGGTGCTTGTCTCAGGCCCCCAAAGCGGTTAATAGTTTAGGTATTAAGTTGTAACTTTTCCTTTAATGAGCGTAGAGTTGCGCAGCATGGCGCCAGACTGCTAAAGCTGTTTGAACTGCAAGGTTGGCGGTTCAAGCTCACCAGCTGCTCTTCAAAAACCCTACACAGGGTTGCTATGGGTTGGAATCAACTCAACGACACTTAACATAATGAGGGTACCACTGTTATGTGAGGAGCCCTGATGGTGCAGTGGGTTGTGTTATGTGTTGGGCTGCTAACAGCAAAATTGGTGGTTTGAACCTGCCAGGCACTTTGAGAGCTGTCTGTTCCCATAAAGGTTTATAGTCTCAGAAACTCTATGGAGCAGTTGTATTCTGCTTGATATGATTTGCCAGCAGTATTTTTGTTATGGTTGTAAGTGAACTTTGAATGCTTGGCCATGGCACTTGCCTATCTTCACCTCCAAGCCAGGAGCCCGTAAACTCAGCCACGCGGGAGGTAGGCGTTGTTCTCACAGACGTTGTTGTTAAGTGCTGTTGAGGTTGAGACAATTCCGACTCATAAGAGACCCTGTATAGGGTTTCTGAGGAGTAGCTGGTGAGTTTGAACCACCAGCCTTGCAATTCAAACCGATCTTGCGATCCATCAGTGCACTATCCTATGGAGTCACACCAGGACTTTACCAAGCCTAAATCCTGGTATGGAGCTCTGGGATAAAGCAAGGTCAGTTTGAATCACAAGGTCAGCAGTTCAAACTCACTATCCGCTCCTTAGAAACCCTATACAGGGTCACTGTGAGTCGGAACCAACTCGACGGCACTTAACAACCTTGGCAGCTGTCAAGAGGGAGGCAGAGCAGAAACTATAGTCCAGCATCAATTTACTACTTGCATCTGTAAAATGGGCACAAGAGAGGGGGCTTATGGACATACTACCCAGATGCCAGAATCCAGGAAGTTCACACTAAAGAAAATTCGACACTAAAACCAAACCAAAACACTGATTGGTGGTGGTGTGCCACTGAGTTAGGTTCTACTCATGGCAACCCTATACAGGGTTTCCAAGGCTGTAAATCTTTATGGGAGCAGAAAGCCTCATCTTTTCCCCAAGGAGTGACTGGTAAAGCCAAACTACTGACTTTGTGATTAGCAGCCCAGCTCCTAATCCACTAAACTACCAGAGCTCCAAAACACCAACAATGTATGTAATCTTTAATCAAACAATTGTTTCACATTAGCAGTAAACAACGTTCGCTTTTTAAAAGAACTGTCTGTACGTAATCAAATTGACAATAGCAATTCGAAAGGTTAGATGAGAAGCCTAGTGGGGCAGTATCATTTGGAAAAGAATAAAGAGAATGGTCATATAACTTGAACATTGCAACCGATGTCACAGAATTGTAGGTGTAGAAATTGTTGAATTGGCACATGTTCTGTTGTGTATAGTTTCACCAAAAGACAACAGAAAAACCCAATTGCCATCAAGTTGATCTGGACTCATGGTGACCTGATGTGTGCACAGTAAAACTGTGTTCCATAGGCTTTCCACTGGCTGAGTTTTCACAAGTAGATTGCCAGACCTTTCTTCAGCGGCACCTCTGGTTGGACTCAAACTTCCAAGCACTTAACTATTTGCAACTGGATCTGTGGGTTAATGTACTGGACTGTAAAGCTCACCAGCTGCTCCTTGGAAACCCTATACAGGGTGGCTCTGGGTTAGAAATGACTCGACAGTACTTAACAGCAACAACCATGTAAACATGCGTAAGGCATAGTTCCTGAAGACAGGGCAGGCTGAAGCCATCGGTAGGAAGGGTTTCGATCATTTTGAGAGTGAGAAGAACCTAATGGGTTATTTAGGGAATGCAGGAAAGTTTTGAGCACAGAGGGGGCAACAAAGAGGGCAAATAGGCCCCCCAAGCAGAGATTAAGCTTCTCCCCTCCTTTCACTCTGAGTCAACCCTCCTGTGTTTTACCTCAATGTATGATACTATTTCTGAATTGAAGCAATTTTCCAAATTACAAAAAAAAAAAAAAAGACAGTGGTGATGGGTGAAAACTCTACCATGAAAACACAGTGCAAGTGAGCGTGTCTCATTAGCAGGCACATGTTGAGGTAAATTTTTTGACTCACTGAAATATCAGATTTGAAAATGTGGAGACCTTTCCCTTTTACCACCCCTCTGCCTGGCACAGAATTCCTCTTGTGACAGAAATCAGACCTAGATGTCCAAGATGGGGGTGAAGGGAAGACGTTATCAATTGTGTCTTTACTCAGCCAAGGTGGAAGTGGCTCCCTTCAGTGGACTTCTTTTGCTCAGCCCCATCCCGTCCAGAGCCTACCTGGGACCACTAGCTGAGAACCACGTGTCCACAGGTTGGTAACCTTTTCCTTGCAAAGTTTGCAGCTTCAGCCTTGTAGTTAACGGAAGGAGGAGGGGAAAAAAAGGTACTCAAAGGGCATCTTTTCATGTGAATGAAAACATGTCTCAATTTAATAGGCTTGTAATATACTTTCTAACATACATTAGAATAGGTATAGATAAAGGGCAAGTCTCCAGAGGCCAACTCTATGGGCACAATCTGACTCATTTATGGCCAAATTCGACATGCAGTTAGAGACTTCTGCTTCTGTACTTTACAGTCTTAACTCATTCTTCTAACAAGTGTTTCCCAATAAACCCGAGCTTCCGACTGCCCAGAAATGGCTGCTGGAAACTTAAGGGTCACTCCTCGCCCTGCCATGTACCCTGCTCCTAATCCCTTCACCCAAGGCAACTCTGGGACCCAGCGCTGGGACGACCTGGTCCGTGGTTCGCTTTCTCTTGGTTGGGAGCGAATGGGAACTGCTCTGGCACGGGTTCTTCCCAGCCGGTGGCCGCAGGAGGCACGGGACAGGTATCTGAGCTCAGCCCGGACCCGGAGAGCTCCTAGACTACTTGGCGCTTGGCTATGGCAGGAGCTGGGTCCGCGATATCGCCCTCTCAGTGGGACCCGGGAGACTCCAGTACCAAGGCTTCCAGCAGCATCGGGGCCGCTCTGCGCTCTCCAGGCTCCATCGCCCTCAACGGTCCTGGAAGAAGGGAAACACTTGGCGCAGAAGGCCCTGAATTTGTGCCACTCGGGAACCCACGGAATCCTTCTCCTTGGCAGCCGGCGCCGCTGCTCTCGCCGTTGTCTCCACTGACTTCGCGCCCGCTGGGCTCAGGGTGCGTCGCAGGATCCAGGCGCTGCCGCCGCCGCTGCTGTTGTTGTTAGAGTTGTCGCGTTCGTGGCCACCTACCATTTCACAGTCCTCAGCCCCCAAGAGCTCCCGCAGACCCTGGGGAGCGTTGAGCCGCAGGTAGTGACAGGCCCGGTGGCCGCTGTGGTCACGGCGCATGATGTCGGCACCCAGGGCGCCCACGAGCACCTTGATGACCATGTCGTGGCCCTGCTGGGTCGCCAGGTGGAGGGGCGTGAGGCCGCCGCTACCCGAGGTGTTTACATCGAGCCCCAGCCCCCGGCGCTGGGCGAAGTCGTGCACTAGGATGAGTTCCTCGTGGCACCCGTGCTTGGCCAGCCAGTGCAGCACCGTGTAGCCTGTGATCGGGTCGCTCCGCAGCAGCAGCCCCGGCTCGGCCTCTAGCAGCTCCCGCAGCACCTCAAAGCGGCCCTCGGCGGCAGCCAGCATCCACGCGTGCTCCCGGGGGTCCATGCATAGCCCGCCGCCGCCGCTCGGCCCGCCCTGTGGCTCCTCGGCGCGCTCCTCCGACGGCCACCCGGCGGGCGCCGCCCCCTGCAGCCCCAGCAGCTCGCGCAGCGCTCCCCGTCGGCGTGCGGAGCCTGCTCCCGAGAGCGTCCCGAAGCCGTGGAAGGAGTCCCGGGCTTGAGCGGCGGCGCCCGCTCGGTACCCGCCCAAGCTCCCGGTGTCCATTCTCGAGGGACGGGGCTGCGGGGCGCTCCGCAGGCTCAGCGGGGTGACCGAGGAGGCCCGGGGAGCCCGGCTCAGGGTCCCTGGGGGCTGGGCCATGCTTCCGCCGCTGCGGCTACAGCACGTCCCGGTCCGGGTCTCGGTCTGCCGCTTGCTGTCCGGCCCGGGCCGTACTGGGAGAGGAACTGGCGCGGGAGCTGGGGAAGGAAGCAGCTTGAGCAATTGGGCTCCGAGGGAGGGAAGGCGGGAGCGAGGGAGGGGAGGAGAGGGAGGGAGGCCCCGCAGGCAAGGGAGGGCCGGTCCCGGGGCGGTGGGGTGTGGAGGCTGGGCGCTCTGGCCCAGTCCCCAGGCAAGCCCCGCTCTGGGCGTCCAAGCTCCCGATGCCCTGCAGCTCCCCCTGGTGCCGGCACCCCGCCCCAAGCGGCCAGGTGAGCCAGGCGAGCCAGGCAGTCCCACCGGCATCTTCGCACCAGCTAGGGAAGGAGACTCGCGGGCGCCCACTTCCCCTCGGCTGAGTTCAGCCGAAGACCTAACCGGAGCTCTGGGGCGCCTGCTCCCCGCCCCCCTCCTCCTTCGTCCTTCCCTCTTATCTCTTCGAGTCTCCCTGCACTTTGTCCCCAAGTCGCCTTTGTCCCGCGTCTAGCATTCACGGAGGCGGCCCGGCGGCCTCATGTGACTGACCCCGCAGCGCCCAGAGCTGCTGGGGATTCCAGCTAAGAAACCCGAGACCATTCAGGAACTGACAAGGGTTATTCCCCCAGCTCTCCCGAGGCTCCAGCTCTGCTCCGGAGCTCTTCTCCCTCCTCTTTCACCTTTCCTGGGCTGGCTGGAGAAGAGGGACAGGTGAACCTGAGCCAGAGGCCAAGGGAACGCCCTGTCCTCTCCAGAGACACAACCCTGCCCTTTCCCTGCGGGACCTGCTGAATTCTGGGAAGCCAGAGCTTCAGGGCTTTTCAAAGATAAAGGTATTTGATCTTATTTATCTTGTTACCTCCAATACTTGTCACCTCTTTGCACTTCCCTTCCCTCAATAAATACTCTTTCTTGTCCCACCCCTACCATGACCCTGTTAAGGAGTTCAGTCTAGGAGCAACTGGGAGCCATTGAGGGTTCGTTCTTGAGCCCGGGAGGGACATGCCCATGATTAAGGCGGTGGTTTAGTAAGATGATTGTGACACAGGCAGGAAGCCTGGGGACTGTTTCAATGTGAACCAATGAAGGAAGGTGATGGTGGTGGTTATGTGCCATAGAGTCGGTTCCGGCTCATTGTGACCCTGTATAGGGTTTCCCAGGCTGTAAATCTTTACCGGAGCAGGAACACCTCAGCTTTCTCCTGCGGAACAGATGGTAGTTTTGAACTGCAGACCTAGACGTTAGCAGCCTGACTCAAAACCACTATGCCACCAGAGCAGCTTAATGAGGGAAGGTATCAATGACTTGTCCTCCTTGACAGTAGTGTCACTAGGGTGGGTGAGAAGGGTGTGTGGATAACACCAGGTGACAGTGTCAGAGGGGGGGTGATACCAAAATGACTATTCAATTTCTGAACAGTGTTTTGGCTGAAGTTTAATATTAAAACAAAATAAAAACAGCCCTATATAGTTCATTATAACAACAAAGACATTTTCCTAAGACCAATTTACAGGCATCAATAGTCCTACAAAGCTAAAACTCTATGCTAATTTACTTTTTGCACCTTTAAGGCCTCATGTCAGAATCCTGGTGTGGTGCTCTAGGAAACCGTAAGGTCATTGGTTCAAACCCACCAGCCACTCCTCAGAAACCCTATGGTCTTGGTGGTTATGTGCTGTGGAGTTGGTTCCGACTCATAGTGACCCTGTATAGGGTTTCCGAGGCTGTAAATCTTTAGGGGAACAGCTGGTAGTTTCAAACTGCTGACCTTACGGTTCGCAGCCTGATTTGTAATCACTAGGCTACCAGAGTTCCTTCAGAAGCCCTATACAGGGTCACTATTGAGTCAGAACCTATTCGGCACACAACAATAATGCCTCTAGTCTGAGCTGTCATTATTCCAATAATAATGATGATGATGCTTTGAATCACCTGGTTTCATCTGCACTCAATAAAAGCATTCCCTTGTGGTTACATTGCTGCAGGTGTATTTATTGTCTCTGATTTTGTTGAATTTGCTGGTATTCGAGTTGCCATAGTGTGATAATATTTGTGAACTTTTATCAATAAGCTTTCTGAAAATGAAGTAATACTTAAAGGAAAAGAAGAAACATTTAAAAAGGCTTCTGCTCAGTTACTTATAATGTAACTAAATAATGTATGATTTTACAAAGTAATTTTGTTGTTAGTGTTCATATAGCAATTGACAGCTACATTTATCACATGTTATTCTATGATTCTATATGATCTGGTAAGGGAAGAGGGCCATGCAGGGAGAGGGTGACATCATGAGTTATTGCACTGCCTTACACCTACCCTTGTTGTTAAGTACCATGGAGTTGGTGACAACTCATAGTGACCCTGTGTAGGAGCAACTGGTGTATTTGAAATTCTGACCATGTAGTTAGCAGTCCAGCTTTTATCTTACAGCGCCACACCAGGACTCCACACCAATCCTGTTGGTGGTGGTGGTGATTGTGTGTCGTGGAGTAGGTTCCAACTCATAGCGACCCTACGTAGGGTTCTGGAGGCAGTACATCTTTATTTACAGAAAACCTCATCTTTTTCCCTTGAAGCCACTAGTAGGTTTGAACTACTGTCCTTTGGTTAGCAGCCCAGCTTGTAACCCACTATGCTACCGGGGCTCCTTACACCAACCCTGGTGACCTTCACATTTGGGGGCCCAGCTTATATCCTGAGCATTTTTTTTTTCAGGATACCCTATGTATTTGTAACTCATTTTAAACATTTTCTATGTACTGGCATGGCGCTGTAGGATAAGCACTGGACTGCTAACTGCAAGGTCGATGATTCAAACCCATCAGCTGATCCTTTGAAATCCCATACAGGGTCCCCTATGAGTCAGAACCAACTCAATGGCATGTGTACCAGACACTGTGCTCCGTGCTTTACATATATTAATTCCTTTCATCTTCCCAATGACCTCAAGAGCTCTAGTTTGCAGAGGCCACTTGCCCAAGGTCACTCTGCAGGAAGTGGCAGAGCAGGTCTGTCTGACTCCATAGCCTTTGTCCTGGCACAGAGGGACTGACATTAGTTTCAGGCTTAGCCACTGCCAGTCACTCACACAAGCCACAAATTCCAGCCAAACAGATGGACTTGTCTTAACCTGATCATACCTTGAACTTGCCCTTTCCTACCTGAAACTCCCTCCCTCCCAACTTCTGTCTAGTAAAGTTCTCCTTGTACTTCAAGGTTGCCCTCAGCTTCCACTTTCTCCAGCAAACCTGCTCTGATTACCCCAGCCCAATGTCATCTCCCCCTAACCCTCCATTTCTACTATTCACTTGGAGCCCAGACTAAACTGCCAGGTATTGTATTTCTCTCCTGTCATGCCATCCTTGTGCACCCAGTAGGAGCACAAGAAATCTTTGTTACCGTGTTCTGGGTTGGCAGCCTGGGGAAATGATTGTGTAGGTGTTAGGGATGGGGTGGATTCTGTGTGTCTTTGGGGTAAGGGGCTTGTCTGATTCCTGATTGTTGATACTCACTCTCACACTGCTGCCTCAGTCTGAATCTGCAGAACTTCAAAAGCAACTCATGGAGTTTGACAATTCATTAAAAAGAAGAAAAAAAAAAGTGATCAAGTGTTCGGTTCACTGAGCAAATTGGCCAAAGTCACTCCTGACTTTTGCTGAGCCTTCAGAAACCAGGGCCAGGTCCTTAGTGGGCCCCTAGGATCTCAGACTTTCATTTTCAAAATGAACCCTGATGGACAAGCAGTTACTTCCGTTGCTCTGGAAACTCCCCTCTGCAACCCCAAATCTATATAAACACCAAACCACATCAGGCACACACTTCCAGAATATGCAAACAGCTGCAGCAATATATATATTTTAAAATCAAAATGCCAGCAAGGAGAATGCAGGATGGGAGAATTCCTGGACTATTAATTTTCCTTGTCACTATCAGCAGGAGTAATATCTCTGGTTCCAGCCCCCAAATGGCAAAGGCACCGCCTGACCAGCACCACAGACCCATGACACATGTGCCCCTGCTTAACTTGGTTGCCAGAGACCAAAGCCACATGCTTCCTTAGCTACTCATTACATCTTTACTTAGCAACTGTTCACCTGCTGCACACACTGTGCCCCAGTGGGCAGGGTCTTTGGCATTTGACATCAAGGAGTGGAAAGCTGAAGGGATAGTACTGACCCACCTAAAGCTAAGAAGACAGTGCTGCTGGCCTGCTACCTTCCAAGGTGTGAGAAATAATTCTCTTGTGGCCCATCTTCAGGAATTCATGAGATTGCAAGACCTGGCAGGCACATGGTTGATTTAAGCAGGCTATTATGGGACTAGGACATTTAAATAAAAATATAGCCATTAAGCCACTTTGGCTTCTCTGGGGGGAGGGAAAATGGGATGTACCATAGAATTGCATATGGAGAACTGGAACTGGAGGAGGGACTTTTACGGACAAGAATAAAAACCATTTGTGGAGGGCCAGCTCTGGTAGCGTAGTGGTTATGAATCGGGCTGCGAACCTTAAGGTCAGCGGTTCGAAACTACCAGCTGCTCCGCGGGAGAAAGATGAGGCTTTCTACTCCCGTAAAGATTTACACCCTCGGAAACCCTGTACAGGGTCGCTATGGGTCGGAACCGACTCGACGGCACTTAACAACAACAACGACAAATGTGGCACATCTGCCCATGTCTACGGGGCTGGGTGCCCGATTTTGCAAAATCGAATAAAGAAAACCTCACTCTCGCTAAGTGAGTACAGATTGGATTACTTGAGCGTTTGTCAGTATAGACAAGGTTTCTCACACAAGGAAATGGAGATAAAAACCCTCAAGCCCTAGAAAAGGGCCTTCCAAAAACTTGGCTGTAGGGTGGGTATTTGCATTGCAAAGAATCTTCTGGAATCCTTTTCAAACTGCTGCTTCTCTAAAAGTTTGTTTACAGGTAAACCCACCAACTTCTCTCTGGAAGAAAGATGTAGC